TATGTGGTAAAGATAATAGACAACCTCAAGTGTTTCTTCTAAGTGATGCTGAGAGGCATAACTAAAAGCCACAGGGTGAATAATTTAAACTGGGTCACTTATACCCTTTGCAGAGATGTTTGACTTGAACATAAGCTTTTTATTACATTTGGGTAAAATTATTTAGACCTCATAGGCTTACAAGAAGCCAAACACGACAAAGAAGAAAAGGAGAAATGGTGCAAAGGCAACTACAAAACTATGAGCAATAATATGGAGTGTGTCCTCCTTTGCAGCTATAACAGCCTCCATTTGGGGGGGGGTGTTCCGGAAGGTTTTGGAGTGTGTCTGTGGGAACTTATGCCCATTCAGCCAAAAGTGCATTAGGGAGGTCAGGTATTGATGTTGTACAAGAAGACAGTACTTGGCTGTCATTATCATTCCAATTCATCCCAAAGGTGTTCAGTAGGGTTGAGGTCAGGGCTCTCTGCAGGCTGCTTTGGTTCCTCCACACCAAACTCATCGAGCTCATGAAGCTGACTTGTACACAGAAGTACAGTCATACTGGAACAGAAAAGCACCTTCACCAAACTGTTACCCCAAGGTTGGAAGTTCATAGTTGTCGAATATGTCTTTGCTGTTGTATCAGCAGAACCCTTCAATGGAAACTGAACTCAATCATTTGCAGGGCTGCCCACACACCTTTGCCCATATAGTGTATGTCTGATTCATTTGTGTTGTAAGTAAGGTTGCACAAATCACATACATGTTTTTGAGATATGTACAAGAAGCAGTCAAATAGGGAATCCCACCGCACTTCTTGCTGAGAAACCCCATATATTATGGGGAGGTGCTGAAGTGGCCGCGGATGGGACCACCAAGTACTCACAGAACAGAATAAATGGTCACCAGCGCTCCAAGTTTTCTTCAATACGAAATCCTTTTATTGATTTCATGTTCTGTGAGTACTTGGCGGCGCCATCGGCGGCCACTACTGCAACCCCCATAATATATGGGTTTCTCGGTCAGGAGTGCGGTGGGACTCCCTATTTGACTGTATCTGTCGGCAATACCCACATGTTTGCACCCCCGAGATATATCTTCACTAAGAGGCTCATCCATGGCAAACAAATTACTATCTCCAGAACAACAAGGAGGTAATAGAGATGTCCAAGAAGCAATCGCACTCCTCCAAGAAGCACTGACACAGTAGTTGATCCTGACTTGTAGCTCAGGGGATGGTGACATTTGCAACCCATACAATCAATCTATCTATTGACAAGGCTTGTTACGGTATCTACAGGAATATTACACCAAGGTCATAACTACCGGTCTGAACTGGTATTCACATCAGCCCTTCCTAACAACTGAAGTATTAGAGTGTAGATGGAAGAAAGCAGAAAAATCCCACAGACTTTATGAATTTTACATTTTACTGCTTACTTCAAAAAATGGAAACAACATCCATGTTTCCCCAACACTTTACAGAAGTGTATTAACCATATACAGGTTGTCTTAAAAGTTCAGCGTACCCAAAAGTGATATTCTAGTTATAGGTGGTGTCTAATGGGCTCAGACAGCCCCTTGGTGTCTTATATTTCTTGATATTCCAACAGCAAGATCTGTCTGCTCTAATTCTCTACTCTGTTACTATCAACCTGAGAAATGTGAGTGTTCATGCCCACCTGCTTGTGTCACAGCTCCTCCTATTGCATTTGCTATATTATAACCTAAATATAAATCCAGCATCAATTGTGGGAACCCCTCTTAAAGACCACAGCAGGTGTGCAACCTAAGAAATTAGCACAGAGATCTCACCAAAAGAGTCCTCAAGAGATATAAGAAAACTGTCTATGGGAATAAACTCACAAACATCTACTAAGAGCTGAAATAGCAAACTTGGTGGACTGACCTATAAGGACTATCCTACTTTGGGCACAACCTGCACACACAATTGGGTAACAATGACATGTACGTTTCAGAGGTAGATTGTCCTTAGTATAGTCACAGCCCTTGGTTGAGAAATAGGTAATAGTCCAAAGCAGAATAATTTTAACAGCCCTGGACTGGGTAACAGACCTCACAATTAGCCACAATAGTAATTATTTATGATTATGCTGAGACTTTTGTACACTCTCAGGTACTCTGTGTCTTCTTCACAGATATATTGGCAATAATTGGTAACTACATGGATGTTCTCATAAAGGCCAGCACACTTCTGGCACTCAATGCTTTGTCCAGAGAAGTTGGACCCTCTCTACAGGATTCCTGAGTCACACTGGCTGCCAGGGTGCTCATATGCTGTGCTGCTGCTGCTGCTCCCAGACATTTGCAGGCATCTACTCGATCCAACTGATTTGAAAACGTAACAGATGTATCTATTCCCCTTCCTTCTCTCCTCTAAGCCCCATGTATAGACCCAGGCTCCTTCCGCCGAGACATTAATGCAACTAATGTACTTATTAGTCACATGAACATGCAAAGAGGTCCTATGACCTCTATATACAACCAGCACAACAGCTGTACTACCTGTCCACGCTTTGTGGAGCTTGGTGGAGCAACAACATCTTTGCCATGCCAGCTTTGTTCTTTTTTAAAGCTGAACATCCAAAGGGGCTGACACAGCTTATATAACCAAACCCTCCTGTTAATCATTAGAGATGCTGTACATGAATGTTAGCCTACATAGTTACAGCATTACATAAAATGGAATAATAAAATGTTTGTTGACTTTTCATACTTGCACCTTTAAAAATCCCCAGTTGATCCAGTAGAAAGGAGCAAGTGATCTTTTGGCTTCAGCACAGGGGTGACTTCATCATGAGTGTACACTGATGTGCAAAGGCAATGTTGTCACACTGATCTGGCGATGACAGCATTGTTTTTGTACATGTGGATCCTGCGTACATTGTTCATTGCATTTGTATTCTTCTAACGAAAGCCTTTGTAAGCTCAGGCACAAACTGTGAATCCTATGGATAGCCAGAAGCTCAAATGGAGGTGGTCACAGTTGTAGTCTCATCCACTCTTGGCAACCTCTGAGGCTGAACTCTTATGGCCATAGCAATTCACTGATCTAGAAAAGTCTTTTTAACTACTTAAGGAATTCTCTCTATCACAGAAAATGTTGAATCAGAAGGGCTTGGTGGTCAGTTCATACCTCTTGTGGGTTGCCAATTTGTATCTTGTTGTCTGAAAACCCTAAATCTATTTTTCAGTATGTTTGGCATCATACCTCACTGGATACCATTTTCTTACTCAAATAATTTTTTCCCCATCTGTTTTAAAGGTACTTAACTGGAGATCATGGCAGTTACAGAACTTTCTGTTGTAGGCTGACAACTTTAAGGCACTGCTTTACAATTAAGGACGGTTTTGTCAGCCTGCCATGCACTCTTCTTTAGTTGCAGGAGGCATTAGCAACCCCGATAGCAGCCCAATGGGCAATTGAAGGAGTGCTTATGGCAGGCTGACAACTCTGCTGCCAATTGTGAGGCAGTGGTAAATGAGATTTAGGGTTTACATACACTTTAATTTCTTACAGCCATTTTGCTCTACTAGCTACTAAAACAAGGAAGCCAGAAAACTGCAAACTTTTGACACTAGCACCTTTAGTAAATTCCCCCTGGTTGCCAGACTCCTTGTGTTCAAAATGGCCCTGAATCTGAGGTTCTTCAAAAGGTACGCCAAAAATGTCCTTATTCTCACCAGCGCCATTTGTAGTTCTCAGACTCATGTGCCAAAATTCTACAGCCCCAGACATGTACATCATTTTTTTGTTTTAGTAGCTCTTTAAAAGTCAGCCACAGAACAACATATCTCACATTCCGGATGGTTCAGCAGGAATCAGCCCAAATTCGAGTCATGTACGGCCAGCTTAACCCATACGTATCATATATTTTCTCAGAGAGAGACATCTAAAAATCAAGTAGCTAATGCTGGCCTTTCTTTTTAGAAAGCCCAGTATGTTTAGCTACCAAGGTGTCCCTTTATTAAATGTGTTAAATAAAGATGTCATACAAGTAATGAAAAATCATAAAATAAAGGATTCGTTTTTTAGCTTTTAAATATTTAATAAATAAGTAATTACTGGCCGAAAACCATTCTAGTTCTCCTTTAATATTATCATGCCTAGCTGAGTTTCCAGTTCAGCTGCCTCTAGCGCAGTAATGGGAATCTAGTCATTGGAGTTCTCGATTTATATAACCTCAAAGTGACCTGCTTGATAAATGTGTCTCCCGTAAAAGAAATCGCAGACTATGCAGCTTTTTACTCCGGGTTATTAAATTTACTATAAACATAAAATAAGGCTGATGAGTGCAGAATTTACATGTCATATATCTTGTATTATTAATCAGGTAGTTTACGTATCCCTCTGCCAATGCAGCAGTGCATGGTGGGAATGTTTTTCACCACGTGGCATGAAGTAAATGGGGTGAAGATAATGTATGGTGCAGTGCAGTATCACCACACAGGTTCACACTCCTTTGTGAAATTACCAAAAGCCTATCCAACCTCACTGGGTTTCTAATGTGTTTTTTGTGGACTGGAATACTCTAGGCCTGGTACATGGTAACGTTTAGTACACATGCTTGCTTAATGTCTATTTATATCTATTTAATTTAAAATATATGTCAAGCCAAGAACAAACTTGTTTTCTAGTTTCAGAATGAGTGAAAAAAACTCTCAAAACTGCTATCTATGCTTCCATTAACCTCCCTGGCGGTATAATTTTTTATTTTTTTCATGTCATTTTTCGGTCTATTTTTTTCCCCGAATTGTTTTCGTCTTTGTCTGTTTTTTTTTTAAATATGCCGCCGGTTCCGCCCCCCTGCGACACGTACGCTCGCAAGGGACGGAACCCAGAAGACGGCATCGGCCGCAGAACACAGCACGGCTTGAGGGACAAGGTAAGTAAATGCTATGCGGCATTCCCGAGTGTAGCTCGGGGTTACCGCTTATAGTATGGAAAAGTAACCCCGAGCTACACTCGTGAATACCGCCAGGGAGGTTACCCTTACTTCCTGTGCTGTTGGCAACAGTTTTAACTAGACAGGAACGGAAAATTGGGAGAAATGTCCCCTGATGCAGCACTAACACTAAGGTGAGGGTGTATGAGTGTGGATTAAAGTGCTTGGTGTGCGGCTCCTTAGAAATGCGGACCGTGGTGTCCGACATTTGCTATTAGGAAAAGAAACAAGGAGTACAGTAGTGCTACTACCACGTGGTGACTTGGCAAAACCAAATAAGGGAATTAAAACTTACCAAAGAATGGGTACTGGCGTTAGGTGTAACCAGGGTCATATGCGGTGTAGGTCTGCCTGTATGGATGGTGCTGGCCGCTGGATGAGGCCAGTTAATGTGAACCTGGACGCTGTGTGGATAAGGGGCGGAGCCTGTATCGCTCTGTACTCCTTGTTTCTTTTCCTATTAACTAGACAGGAAACCTGCAACAAGGACACAGATAGAAATAAAAATTTGGTTCACCCATTCGCATACTCTATTTAAGAAAAACACTTTTGTCTGTGTTGCTGTTGGAGAGTTCCCCTTACTGCATGTCTGGTATCTATGTGAAGCATAAGGGTAAGGCCAGCAGCCCTTGTAGCTGGAACGCACACCACTATCCCTGCAGCCTTCAAGTCTGCCTGGTTGTAGGTGGTCCAACATCGAAGAGCACAACCACTTTACATTGGTACTTACTACCAATGTGTATTGCTCATACACCAAGGTACCAGTTCTGGAGGATAGCACCACCTTTCCTCAAAACAACCTGCACAGTCCCTAGGATGTTTCACACAGTACCCTAGTGGTGGTCATAGCGTGCAAAGTGCAGTCCCTCACTCTTTTTATAGATCAGGCCAGGAGTGGAACATCCAAGGCTCTAACTTCCCATGGAAGGTCATGGGTGATTACCAGTTACTCCAGCCCTTGCTAGCAGCAGACTCTGCAAGGGTGCACCAGTCCTTAACATTTTATTGAAACTGCACTGTGCTGCAAATGGATCCCAGTTCACACTGGAATGTCCAGTCGGATATATCTTTTCATTACAATTTACTTGCATGAAGAATATACATAGTCCGTAGAATTGTGCAATTCTTCCATGAGGTATACTCATACTCAATTCCTCCATGAGGTATACTCATGTGCTGGCGATGGACTCTTTCCTTCCCTCGGGTTTAGGGTCCCGCTTGGACTTCTCACATACTGCAGCAGCACTGGAGGAACTTCCTATCTCCCATCTCCCTCCGGCCACTCCACCCTACTTAAAATATCAACCTAAAGGTGGGAGGGGCAGCCAACCCAGACTGGCATGAAAAAGGAGCGGGAGAAACCTTACAGGGAATACCGCCTCATTAAACATGCCTTGTGAGCCATGCCCATTCCACAACACTTAACGTCTGACCCAGACAGTGCTCAACTTTATCCAGCTTCTCTATTACTGCCACTCTATATTTAGGACTTTGTGGTCTGTTCAGGTGACCTTCTCCTGTTGGATCTTGATCGTTCCAGATTAGATCAAATTTTGTATGGAATCCTTGCAAATGCAATAGTACTCCAACATGCTTGACATTCCTCCCGATTTCACAACTGCCATCTTCACGTTCCTTTGGATTTCACAACCCCGGGTCTATAATGTTGTTATAATGGTGTTTTAATTATTTCTGAGGCCATAAAGGAAAGGTGCTAACACCTCGTATGATGTTTATGATCACTGTGAAAAGGTGGAAAATTACACAACAGGTATCAGAGTGTGTAGTAAACTAAGGGAACAAAAATTTAAAATAATGTGCATAACTTAAAAGTACATCCTACTCTCCTTTCATATCACAAGCCCCCTTCACATTAAATGCCCTCACTTTACGTCAGGAGCCCTCTTTATATCAGAAGCCCCCTTGTCACATCAGAGTCCCCCCCTTTCACATGAGATTTTTCTCTTCACATAAGAGTCCTACCATCACGTCAGGAGCCACAGCTGGGGCAGCTTGGCGGAGAGCTTGTGGTGGATCAGGTCTGAATGGAAGCGAACTTCCATCCTTCTCTGAATTGATCCCTCTCTCCCTGCACCATGGAAATGCATAATGCTGTGCAAAATTTCAAGGCACCCCTAAGGAAGCCAGAAGGCACCCCAAGTTGTCATGCCACCCTGACTGAGAAAGGCTGCTTTAAAGGGTAAATAGAACTGTGTGCAGACACTTATAGTCAAGTGACAGTTTATCTACTTTGTACCAGTACAGATAATATTAACTGGTTCTCCATCCAAATCTAATATCTAACCCCAGCCAGGACATTTTTTAGGTTGGAGACAGCAGAAGTGATAAAAAATAGCTTTCTACTACCTCTTTAAGGAAATTTCCCTAATTTCCTCCTTTATCTGACCTACTGTCACCTGCAGAGGAAGTATGTATCTCAACAACGGCAGCCATAAAACCTTATTCCTTGGATGTATGACAAAGCGTTGGAACTAGGAAAAAAATATTGATCTGGACTAAAAGTTGGCAGAGAGGGTTCCCTGTAGCTGATTGACTATTGAAGAGTCTGCTGAGTGGTTGGTCTCTCAATCATGTGGCAACTGTGGTGATCTGGGAGGAGATCCATGATTCCAAAACCTTCAACTTTTATTTGGATAGGAATTTTGATTTTATTGGTAAATGCATTTCAAGGTCTTCTCCTTTTTTCCAGAGTGTTGGCTACTTTATCAAGCATATTGTTAAAGTGTCTGGGAGATCTAAGCTCAATGTGGTGACAAGAACTCTGCTCTGGAGGTTGCCTGCCAAAACACTGACACTTCTGACTATTTGTAATTCATAGTGTAGCCCCATCACCTTTTGTAAGGTGGCTACTAGAAATTTAGAGATTGCCAGAGCTGTAGGCAGTCTGGCTGAATTTTATAGTTGGAATTTATCTGGTTAATTCCAGGTGTTCTGGCATTGATTATACTGCCTGAGTGGAGTGTGACTCTGCTACAGTGTGGGACAACCAATGGAGGACACTGTGAGTGTGTGTGCAGTCCACATGCCAATCACTGTGGCTCTGATAGCCAGTGTTGCATGCTGGGACGGGGCATATATACTCAAGGGAATTGCCAGTCTGGATCCAGCCATGTGTTAGTCCAGGTTGGGGTGCTCTCTAGCCTCCCCCTGGGCTAGGCCTGGGGGTGGGAACACCTGAGTGTGGAAAATGTTCCGTTTTGACTCAAGCCTGGAGGAGGCCTTTTCTACAGATTAAAGAGAAAAACCAGAGAAGTTGATGGCTGCTGGAAGTGCCTGGAATATAGAAGACCTCAGGAGCAGGTCTGGTGTCTCTCCTACTGAAGATTCCGTACCTACCCCTATTCAACTGTGCTGCAAATGGATCTGCACTGAATTACTGAAAGGGACTGGTGAGTCTGTCTGTTCTACTCTGGGCACTTACACCCTCTCTCCCAGAGTGAAAATTTTAATAAACAGCATCATACTTCTGGCCTGGATATCAGCTTTGTGGGTCACTAGAAGAGGGCAATCTATGTTAATGGGGCAGCTGGTTAACAAAACCCTAGACAGGTTAGTGATGACCCGGGATATTCTGGTGGCTCACTTGGGATGGGATGGTGGTCATGGGTTTGGTAGATGTGTGTCTTCTTGCTGAACATTTTGTCAGTAACAGATGTCTCTTCTTCCAGGTTGAGTGATTTGGGAGTGTGGTGTTCTTAGGTCTGTTGTTTTATAAGATGAGTCCCAGCTGTATTTACTATTAATATGAGCTCTTTTCAATTCTAATTTCAAGATTCTAGCCCTTATCATCTTCATCTGTACAAAATAGATATACTTGGGTGGTTTGTGCTAAATAGACCAGGATAATATTTGGTGCTAAGTGTAGAAAACACTGTATATGAGCACCTCAAAGTGCTCTTCTGCATAGTTGACATTCCAAGGACTATTGCTGGGGTTAGGCACCAACTCATGAAGACACTCGAGTTCCGTCATCGCCAAAGTAAAAAAAGGCCACATATAGAAAACCAAGAACATAGATCATAGATTTAAATACAATAACCTCTGCCTTGAGCAAACAGTCAGTTCCAGTTCATGGGCAAAGCCACTAAGGTGGGTATCTTAGGCCCCCAAGCTAATGAAGGCATCTTTAGTCTGTCCTACACACTCTCATCATGTTGTATCAAACATGCAATGTCCCATAATTGAGACCCCACATTAAATATTCACTTCAGTCGCTACATTTGATTAAAGCCTAAGTCTAGACATTTTTTGGATACAGTACGAAGGTGTCAACAATGCTGATAGGTTTATATTTCTGCGTGTGACCCCCTTTGGAAAGTTTTGTCTATATAGATATAATAGGTGGAGTATTACAAGAATGCACAGACAACAGTAAAAAAATACCTCAACCTTTATCACTCTTTTTAAAATTAGTTGTGGACCTTGCTTTACATCACATGGCCACCAGTCTGGTGTTGCTGTCCTCCTTCTCAAAATGCCATTTGACCAGGAAAGTGAAGTCAAAGCAAAATCACACCTCCTGATTTTTATACTTGTTCAGTGTCAGTGACCCAGAAAGTATTGAGGATCATCATGACAGCCAGGTAACAAGCACTTGCAGAATGAAGTTAGCAGTGGTGGTCTACTGGTAAAAGTGCAAAATCCCCCTTGCTAGAGGTAAATGAGCTGTAAGAACATCCAAGCAATGCATGCTGGTATTTTCAGCTCCCCAACAGTAGAATGGCTGTGAGCCTTGCCTATTGTGGCACAGGGGAGGTTAATCATTTCACAAGCCACTTTATTCTGCAGTTAAACGTGTCACTTTAATTGCTGTGAATCTTTTTGGGAACAATGGCAGCACTGTACTGCCGGGGACTGTATAACGAGGCTCAGTCTGCCTCCCCCTGCTTCGCGGAGAGAAGTGCAGCCCATTACATATAATAATGCACTGAGAATTGAAAAAGAATGTAATCTTCAGGTCATTGTGGATTCCAGCAATCAGCTAAAAGGCAGGTTCATTAGCCTGCCATTAAATCCTCACTTGTCATGTTAAATAATGTCAGGCACGCTTCCTTGGGCAAGATGTAACCCCTTCATTCCAATGAGTTGTTTCATCAGCTGAGGCCTTCTGCTGCACATATGATAAATAAACTCCATAGTGTGATAGGGGTGGGTGAACATACAGTACTAGGGTGCTTTATTGAGGATTAGCTGCAATGAAATGGAGGATGCTCATCACTCTGAGACAACAGTATATAATTATTATGAGTAACATTCAAATGACCAAGTGCAAAATCTCCATGTGCTGTGTATGCCATGAGCATCTTCCCACAA